TTTCTCAGAACCTTTCTTTTTCTCTTCTTCTTCTGGGATCCCTATATTTTGAATGTTTGTGAATTTAATGATGTCCCAGGTCTCTGAGACTCTCCTCAGTTCTTTTCATTCTTTTTTCTTTTTTGTGCTCCCTGGCAGTTATTTCCACCATTTTATCCTCCAGCTCACTTATCTGTTCTTCTGCCTCAGTTATTCTCTTACTCATTCCTTCTAGAGTATTTTTAATTTCAGTAATTGTGTTTTTCATTACTGTTTGTTTGCTCTTTACTTCTTCTAGATCCTTGTTAAATGTTTCTTATATTTTCTCCATTGTGTTTCTGAGATTTTGGATCATCTTTACTATCATCACTCTGAATTCATTTTCAGGTAGGTTGCCTATTTTGTCTTCATTTATTTGGTCTTGTAGGTTTTTACCTTGCTTCTTCATCTGTAACGTATTTATTTGTCATTTCATTTTTTTTGTTCTCTTGATGGGTGGTGCTGTATTCCTGTCTTACTGGTTTTTTGGCCTGAGGCATCCAGCACTGGAGTTTGCAGGCAGTTGGGTAGAGCTGGGTCTTGGTGCTGAGATGAGGACCTCAGGGAGGCCTCACTACGATTGATATTCCCTGGGGTCTGAGGTTCTCTGTTAGTCTAGCAGTTTGGACTCAGAGCTCCCACCACAGGAGCATGGGCCTGACCTCTGGCCTGGGGACCAAGATCCCGCAAGCCAGTTGCTGGGGGTTCTTCCCATCCCCTTAGGTGTCCACGGTCCCTCACCGGTGCCTGGTAAGTGCCCTAGATGTGAGGAGACGCGAATTCCGTATCCTCCTAGTATGCCATCTTGACTCCGCCCCATCCTTACTATCTTACTCTACTTTGAATTAATAGCATATCACTTCATGTTCAACATAAGAACTTTGCAAAAGTACTTTACAGAAAGCACAGTGTCATTTACCTTTTTATTGCCTTTTGCGTTACTATTATATTTATTACTTCTACATCTATTAAATTTCTACCATTCATTGATATTGTTTTCACTTTAGTCAGTAGTCTTTTTTTTTTTTTTTTTCTTCTGGCCACACCACACAGCATGTGGGGTCTTAGTTCCCTGGCCAGGGATCAAACCTGTGCCTCCTGCAGTGGAAGTGCAGAGTTTTAACCACTGGACTGCCAGGGAAGTCCCCTACTCAGTAGCCTCTTAAAGAAATTTTAAGAATATTTTTTTATGTTAGCAATATATTTGCCATCTCCTGTGCTCTTCATTCCTTCCCACAGATCCAGGATTCAGCTTGGAATCATATCCCTCCAGCCTAAAGTACTTCATTTAATATTTTTTGTACTGTGGGTCTACTGGTAACAAATACTTTCAGTTTTTGTTTGTCTTTATTTTGCCTTCATCTTTTTTTTTGGCCATGTCGGGTCTTCGTTGCTGCATGCGGGCTTTCACTAGTTACGGCAAGCAAGGGCTACTCTTTGTTGCAGTGCACGGGCTTCTCATTGCAGTGGCTTCTCTTGTTGCAGAGCATGGGCTGTAGGCGCACGGGCTCAGTAGTTGTGGCAGGCAGGCCCTAGAGTGCGCGGGCTTCAGTAGTTGCAGCTCGCGGACTCTAGGGCATGTGGGCTTCATTAGTTGTGGCTCATGGGCTCTAGAGCGCAGGCTCAGTAGTTGTGGCGCACGGCCTTAGTTGCTCCATGGACATGGGATCTTCCTGGACCAGGGATCAAACCCATGTCCCCTGTATTGGCAGGCAAATTCTTAACCACTTCACCACCAGGGAAGTCCCTGCCTTCACTTTTTAAGGATATTTTTGCTGGGTATAGGATTCTATATTTTTTCTTTCAGCATGTCAAGGACATCATTCCATTTTCTTTTGGCTTCCACTGTTAATGATAAGTCAGTTTTGATTCTTCTTGTTGTTTTTCTGCATATAAGGTGTTTTTTGCTCGACTGCTTTTAACTTTTTTCTTTAATTTTCAACAATTGACTAAGGTGTGCCTAGGTGGGATCTTCTTTGTACTTATGCAACTTATGGTTCACTGAACTTCTTGGATCTGTCGGTTTATGTCTTTCATAGATTTTGGAAAATTTTCAGCCATATCTCCTTAAATTATTCTTCCATATTATTCTCTTTCTCCTCTCCTTCTGGGATTCTAGTTACATGTATTTCAGATTAGTTTGATATTGTTTCACAGGTATATGATGCTCTGTTATTTTCATTTTTTCCCCCTCTGTTTCATTTTGGATTATTTCTATTGACCTATCTTTAAATTCACTGACCTTTTCTTGTGCTGTGTCCAATCTGATGTTAAACCCATCTAATGAATTCTTTATTTCAGATATGGTATTTTTCAGTTCTAGAATTTCTACTGTGTTCTTTTTTATAGTTTCCATTTCTCTGCTAAAATTCCCTTTCTGTTCACCCATTTTGTCCATCTTTTCACTGAATTCTTTAATCAATTTATAATTCCCGCACCTGGGTCATCTGTAGATCTGCTTCAAATGACTTTTTTTTAAGTTTTTAATTTTTAAAAAGTTTTTGTATTTAAATTTTTTATTGAACTATAGTTTCTCTACAATATTATCTTAATTTCAGGTGTACAGTATAGTGATTCAGTATTTTTACAGATTATACTCCACTAAAAGTTATTAAAAGATAATGGCTATAATTCCTTGTGCTATTCAGATGACTTTGCATGTTCGACATTGTGTTTAAAAGAACGGTAGACACTGAAGTAGATAATGTTTTTTTCCCAGAGAGAACACACCATTTTCTTTGTCTGGTAGCTAGGATAAGGGGCAGATCATTTCAGTCCAACTAGGGGTTATGCTGGGATTGTAATGAGTTGTAGTTTTATTTAAATTGTTTCAGTTTACCTCTGATTTCACATATTTGAGAGTGAGATCAGTTCCTTCCTTCATCAGGGCTTTGGGATCTAAGTACCCAAGACCATAGAAATCTTTCTTTGCTTTTTAGCTCACACCCAGTTTCCTGTGAAACTCCACTTAGGGGTTGATTTCCTTGATCTGATTAAGAGTTGAGCTGGGTGGGGGCTGGGTTACTTAGTTGCACTTCAACTCTGCTATACGTAACAACATGGATAAATCTCAAACACATAATGATGAGTGAAAGAAGCCAGATACAAATGAGTATAAACTGTATTATTTTCATGTACATGAAGTTCAGGTGAAATTAATCTGTAGATTAGAAATAAGAACCGCTCTACCTTTGGGAAGGAGAGAGGGGTAGTGACTAGGAGGGGGCATAAGAAGGGCTTGTCTCAAATGCTGGTGATGTTCTGTCTCTTTACTTGGGTGGTGGTTACCTGGGTGTGTTTGCTTTGTGAAAATCTATTGCACCATATACTTATGATTTGTGTTCTTTTCTCTATGTGTGTTATAGTTCAAAAACAAAAAAGAAAGTGTGTATGGTGGGGGAGGAGCTCTTGCACAAAAAAACAAAGTTAAAAAGAAAAATCAAGCTATAGAATAGAAGATATTTGCAATGCTATAACAAAGGACTTGTATACAGGTTATTTTGTTTTAAATTTTTCTACAAATCAAAAAGAAAAGAACAGAAGGAGAAAAAGCAACCCAATAGAAAATGAGCAAAGGATAAGAAAAAGCAAGTAAGAGAAGAAGAGGCCTGAATAGCCCATAAACGTGAAAAGGTATTCAGTCTCACTAGTAATCCTGGAAATACAAATTAAAACCTTATTGAGGACTTCCCTGGTGGCACAGTGTTTAAGAATCCGCCTGCCAATGCAGGGGACATGGGTTTGATCCCTGGTCCAGGAAGATCTCACATGCTGCGGAGCAAGTAAGCCCATGCACTACAACTACTAAGCCTGCACTCTAGAGCCCACAAGCCACAACTACTGAGCCCACGTGCTGCAACTACTGAAGCCCGTGTGCCTAGAGCTTGTGCTCCACAACAAGAGAAGCCACCACAATGAGAAGCCCACGCACCACAATGAAGAGTAGCCCCCACTTGCCGCGACTAGAGAAAGCCTGCATGCAGCAATGAAGACCCAACACAGCCAAAACTAAATAAATAAATTTATTTAAAAAAAAAAAAAACCTTATTGCGATACCATTTCACACCAATGAGATTGGCTAAAGCTAAAATGTCTAACAATACCAAGTTGGTGAGAGTATGAGGGAGCAGAAAGTTTCATACACTGCTAATGGTAATTTAAATTGTTATAATTTAGAGATCAAATAGATCAATTATTGACTTGGAGATACATTGATTCTAAATTTTTACAGTTCTACAAAGAAAGATACTCTTTATTATAAAGATCTCCCACATTTGCCAATGGATACATGCACAAGGATGTGCATTGCAAATTTGTTTATAATAGCAAAAAATTGGAAACAGACCTAAATATCCATCATTAGAGAAGTGGAGAAATACCTTACAGCAGTTAAAATGAATAAAGTAGATTTACATGTATCAACATAGTAAAATCTTGAAAACATAATATTGAATGAAAAAAGCAAGTAGCAAGGGGTATATATACTGTGAAAACATCTAAGTTTTAAAAGAACAGTACATATTGATACATATATGGTAAAAGTATAAAACTATAGTCAGGGACTTCCCTGGCTGTCCAGTGGTTAAGACTCTGCACTTCCGCTGCAGTGGGTGGGTTCAATCCCTGGTTGGGGAACTAAAATCCCACATGCTGCGTGACTTGGCCAATAAATAAATAAATAAATATATAGGAAGGTTATTCACCAATTTCAGAATAGCTGTTACCACTGGGCAAGGAAGAGAATAAGGACAGTAAGGGGCTACTTATTACTTAAAAAAAAAAGTACCTATGGAAAAATGTTAACATCAAATCTGGGAAGTCAGTACATAGCTGTTTAATAAGTGTAATATTCGCTCTACCTTGTTTGTTTATTTGAAATAGTTTTTTGTTTTTTTTTTAAGTTAGACTGGGGCTAGGCTATGAGGTGTATTAAAAGCCTTCCTTCCTTTTCCAAACACTCTTCACCTTTTAATTCTTTACAGATACAGCTTTCCCCATCACTTTGCATCTATATTTTGGTTTGTGCCTTATCACCAGTAGATCAAGGAGAAGGGTGAGTTCTGATGTAATCTTCTATGGTCTTCCTTGTGTCTTACCCTCCAGGGTTCATAGTAGAGCTCAGCAATATCTTTTCATATGCTTTTTATCAGACTTAAAATATTACTCTCCAACAGAAATGTGTTTAAGTTCATGAACCAAGTGATTGATATAGACTTTAAAAATAAGTGAAAAGTTATCTTCTCTCATTTCACATTTCTGCTCAAAAAAAAAATACCGATCATAAAGTATTTTTTAAGATTTAAATAATATTGCTTGCTATTTCAATTGATAAGTGTATGGATAAATAGTTACAAAGCGTCTGTTTTTATACTCTTCATTTTTTTAAATTTCTGAATTATAACTATATAAACACTTTTTTAAAACTTACCTACTAAGTCATGTCACTCTAGTGTATTAACTGTTTCCATATAATTGTTGAGGGTTTTAATTTTAGAAACAGAAAAATTATGTTGGTGTCAGGGACTTCTTTTGTGGAGTAGAGTAGTGCAAATACTCAGATCTCACAGATTATCCCTGGGAGAGGTCAGAAGTTTACCTAAGTAAATATGTTAAGAGTCCCTCCCACTTGTTGAATAATTTGGTTGGTAAGCTTTGTGCTAGGCAACAGGCTTTCTCTCTCTTCCTTTGCTCAAGATAAAATTCAGAGAATAAAAAGGTTGCTTTTGTTGTTTTGTTTTGTTTTCCTTGCAGGTTAAATACTTTAAGATGAGAAACATTGATGTTTGTTTGAGCTCTGAAGGGACTGAAGTGATTTTAGCTACATCAAGTGATGAAAAACACCCACCTGAAAATATAATTGATGGGTAAGAATTACTGTTCTTTCTTCCTTAAAGTCTTAATATTAAGTCAGTGAACTCCCTGAGCACTGAGATTATGTGTTTTACAACAACTAGCACTGTTAAACATAGTTTAATAAATGTCTGGTGAACTAAATTACCTGACTACCCACTTTAGTACCATCCCTGGAGCTAATTCAGTTGTGTATATTTAGGGTTTTGATCCTTTTTTTTTAAAATTTCTTTATTTTTGGCTGTGTTGGGTCTTCATTGCTGCGCGCGGGCTTTCTCTAGTTGTGACGAGCGGGGGCTACTCTTAGTTGCGGTGCACAGGCTTCTCATTGCGGTGGCTTCTCTCATTATGGAGCACGGGCTCTAGGTGTGTGGGCTTCAGTAGTTGTGGCACGCGGGTTCAGTAGTTGTGGTGTGTGGGCTCTAGAGCGCAGGCTCAGTAGTTGTGGTGCACGGGCTTAGTTGCTCCACGGCATGTGGGATCTTCCCTGACCAGGGCTCGAGCCCATGTACCCTGCATTGGCAGGTGGATTCTTAACCACTGTGCCAACAGGGAAGTCCCTGATCCTTTTCTTTATGAATCCCTAAACTGAACTTTTTAGAAAAATAGTTTTTAAAGATGTGGTCTAACAAGGCAAAACTTCAAACAACAGCTACCTCATTTTATGGAAGTATACATTTTAATATCTGGTTATGGGTTTATTCCAAGTTTTTCTTGGTAAATAGGAATATAAACAGTATGACTTACTATGTACTGCCTATTTTCTTTCTGGTCTAAGCAACATCTTTGCTGAACTGAATGCTTCACTTCTTGCTATCCACCTGCATTGTTTGGTTCTCAGCTTCTTGATATCATTCCAGTTACCACTCTTCACTGTGCTAGAGCTTATTCTAGGTAGGGATAGATATCATTCTCAGACTTTTAAATTCCAGGAAAAAAGTAGTTAATGGAAGAACTTCTTTTTTTTAAAAAATTGAGGTATACGGGACTTACCTGGTGGTCCAGTGGTTAAGACTCTACACTTCTGTTACAGGGGGCGCGGGTTCAATCCCTGGTTGGGGAAATAAGTTCCCGCATGCCGCAGCCAAAAAATTTTTTTAAAAAATTGAAGTATAGTTGCTTTAGTTTAGTACCATTCCTGGAGCTAATTCAGTTGTGTATATTTAGGGTTTTGATCCTTTTTTTTTTTTTAATTTCTTTATTTAATTTCTTTATTTTTGGCTGTGTTGGGTCTTCATTGCTGCACGCGGGCTTTCTTAAATATTATGTAAGTTTCAGGTGTACACTGTAGCAATACACAATTTTTAAAGGTTATACTCCATTTATAGTTATTATAAAATATTGGCTATAATTCCTGTGTTGTACAATATATCCTTGTAGCTTAATTATTTTATACATAGTAGTTTGTACCTCTTAGTCCCCCAGCCCTATCTTGCCCCTCTCCACTTCCCTCTCCCCACTAGTTTTTTCCCCTTATCTGTAAGTCTCTTTCTTTTTTATTATATTCACTAGTTTTATTTTTTAGATTCTACATATAAGTGGTATACAGTATTTGTCTTTCTCTGTCTGACTTATTTCATTAAGCAAATACCCTCCAAGTCCACCCAAGAAAAACTCCTTTTTTAATAGTTCTTTTATTACCCTCCTGAATTCTCTTTCTTGGTATTTGTACAGTGATCCGAGTTTGACTCATAGAATCATATAATTTTAGAGCTGGAAGGACTTATGAGTTCATCTTATTGAAACCTTTCATTTAGACTTGTGGTAAGAGAGATCTAAAGAGGTCAGGTACTAGCTTTAACTATTGAAGGCAGAGCCAGTTGTAACATAGATCTCGTGGCTCTTTGTGTTCTATTGTGAGGTCCATGTATCTGTATAAAATTCTAGCAATTGGACCTGTTCCTTTAAGCCCAGTTCTTACCTCCTCTCTGAGTGACATCTGTCCCTTTCCCTCAGGTAGGATAGTTTCCCTTTTTGGTGGGCTCCAGTAGAATTTGATATATATACCTCTATTATCTTATTTATTCCTTTATTATATAATTATTTATTTTTAATGTATGTCTCCCCTTTCAACTGGAAATTTCTAGAAGTCAGAGACTATGACTTCATCTTTGACTCCACAGTGTCTTAAAATATTTGTGGAGTAGCTTGTGAATTAGACCATCAAAGATTAGTCATACATACACTCAAACATGTACACATATACATACATACATACTTACATATATGCATCTGTTAATATATATTTGCATAGGGCTTTATAGTTTTATAGATGTTATGTCATGTGACCCTCAAAGTAAGCTTGGGGAGTAAGAGGCCAAAAAAAAAGTATTTTCACCCTCATTATAAAGATGATGAAAAAAATGATTAGAGGTAAAATGACTTACTCAAAATCATACAGATAAGCAAGTGTCAGAATCAAAACTAACACTCATGTCTTCTAACTCCCAGTTTCTAAAACTTAAGGTTTGAATAAAAAACTTAATATATGTGCCTCTTAATCCTTCTTAGTTTTTTATTTCCTGAAATTCAGGTAATAGTTATTTATCTCACTCTGCCTTAGAGTAGAGATATAAATGTGGGAACTGCTATGAGGATCACAGACCTATAGAGATGTACCTTAAATCATTTGCCAGAAATAGAGATCTTTCCAAAAATACTCCTTGTCTTTGATTGGAGATAAATCAAATTTTCAAGGCAAGATCAATTTACCTTACACCCTTTTGGTGACCTTTCTTTCAAGGGAATATGTTTATAGATTATTAAAATTGGCTGTGATATGTAACATAATACTTCAGACTTTATCAGTCCATACTAATGAATAAGTACATAATATTTTTTAGATTAGACAAAGACCCTTAATACAGAAAACTATATGGAGTAAAGTAGTTACTGACCCGATAAACTGAACGGAGCACATCAGAGACTTTTAATTCATATGCATTCCCAACAAACACAATTAGATTTTATATAGTAGATAGTAAAATTTATTCTTTGCTCATAAGTTGATTTATCTAAATGGAAATAACAGTAGAATTATTTGGAGAAAACAGTGCTATAAATTAGCCCCTAATGGATAGTGCTCCCAATTCTCAATTTCCTCAGAAATAGAGTTTTAAAAAGTGATTATATTTCTACTCCCTCTTGACTCTACTTTTGACCCCTGGTATTTAACATGTCAATGAAAAAGGAGAAAAATTTTACACAAAAAAAATGAGTTAGAAAAAGTAGAAGAGAGAGAGAATTGGTTCCTTTGGCATAATGTAAAAGAATGAGAGATTTACAGTTAAAATTCCTGGGTAAGTGAACTATGTGTATTACTTTGGGCTAAGAATACATGTTATTCTTTGAGCCTCAGTTTCCTGGTCTGAAAAGTGGGGATAATACCACCTTCCCTGACTACCTCAGAGTTATGAAAAAATTACGTGACTTTTTTTATTATCACATAAGATGATAGATGTTGAACAGTCAATGGCTATAAGGCCTTGTTTTAAAGGAAACTACTATTTTGATGACTTCATTTTACTTAATTATAGGAATTCAGTTATTTTAAAATCCAAGTGCATCTCTATATATCTTTATGTTATTACTTTGATCATGTTCATTAAAAGCACCCAAGAAAAAACATAGGGCAAGTAAAAATTGTTTAATTTATTTAAATAAATAAAATTTTAAACCATATAAATATAAATAAAAAGAAATTGTGAAATAGTAAGCATAGTATAAAAAAATTAAAAATTGTGAGTTAGAGACCTGGATTCTGTTTTTTTCTTTTTTGTAACACCTTTATTGACATATTATTCTCATACCATAAAATTCAACCATTTAAGATATACAATTCAGTGGCTTCTAGCATATTCAGAGTTATGCAGCCATTTGCACAATCCATTTCAGCACCCCAAAAAGAAACCTCACACACTTTCATTGTCATCCCCTATCCCCATGAGCCCTAGGCAACCACAGATCTACTTTCTGTCCCTACAGATTTGCTTATCCAGACATTCATATCAATAGAATAATACATATATTGTCTTTGGACTGCCTTCCTTCACTTACATGTTTTCAAGGCTCATCCATGTTGTAGTATGTATCAGTGCTCCATTCATTTTTATTGCCAAATAATTCCATTGTATGTATATGGCAAATTTTATTTACCCATTCATCAGCTGATGGATATCGGAATTGTTTCTACTTTTTGGCTGAATTTTCCCCCGTTTTATTAAAGAATACCAACTCACAGATCCAAGGAACTCAGCAAACCCCAAGCAAAATGAATAACAGACCATATCATAGCCAAACTGCTGAAAAACAAAGATAGAGAAAAAAATTTTTAAACAACTGGAGCAAAAAAATACATTACATACAGGGGTACAGTGGTACCAGTGACAGCCAACTTTGCATCACAAGCAATGGAATTCAGGTGACAATGGAATCATATCTTTAAAATGCTGGAGAAAAAAGAGAAACAAACAAATAAACCTGTCAACCCAGAATTCTGTGTCTAGTTAAAATATCACTAAAAAATATAGGATATAAGAAAGACTTTTCACTTACCACAAACAGACTTGCATCACAGGAAATGCTAAAGAAAGTTCTGCAGGTTAAAATGATAAAATACTAGATAGAAATTCAAACATTCAGGAAGAAAGTAAGTGCATTGGAAATGGTAAATATTTCAGTAAATATAAAAGACTATCTTTTAATAATTTTTTTTTAATTTTTTGCGGTACACGGGCCTCTCACCGCTGCAGCCTCTCCCATCGCGGAGCACAGGCTCCGGACGCGCAGGTCCAACGGCCACGGCTCACGGGCCCAGCCGCTCCGCGGCACGTGGGATCCTCCTGTACCGGGGCACGAACGCGCGCCCCCTGCATCAGCAGGCAGACTCTCAACCACTGCACCACCAGAGAAGCCCTCTTTTAATAATTTTGAAAGACAGCTAACCACTTAATGGGAAAAAACATTTTGTATTGTGGGATGTATTATATATGTGTGTATAAAATATATTAAAACA